CGCGAGCGCGCGGGGCTCCCGCGGCGGCTCCCATGCGGCCGGGGCGGCTCCGCGCCGCGCGGGCAGGAGCGCCCGTGTCCTGTCCCCGGCCAGAGCCCAGCGCTGCCGCGGAGCCAGGTAGGAGCCGGGGCKGCCCAGGGACGGCGCGCGCGGAACCGCGGAGCCGGGGCTGCTGCCGCTCCTGCGAGCGCCGGCACTTGGAGAGGGGAACAGAACTTGCTGAAGCAGATCTGCCGCGCACGGGGGCTCACGCGGATTTCTAAACTATTCTGCTTTTCTCTCTTACAACTTTTACGATGCCTTAAAAATTAATGTGTCTCCTATTTTGTTTTCTCTTTTAACAGAACTGTGAACGATCCTGGGCTTGGCTTGACCTTGATTTTGATAGCTTTGCTGGAAGATTTGGTGATGTGATTGCACTTCATGACAGTGATTGCTCTCCTTCCTCCATGGCTTAGGGTATAAGCCACCTCTGCCACAGTCACTGATGGACAATTCAGGTTTTTCTTTAAACAAACCTTTTGGCTTTTTTTTTTTTTTTATTTTCTCACTTCTCCTTTCCCCCACATTTCCCTGTAACATCAGGAGCCTTATTCTGCTCTTTGAGGTAATCAATAACGCTGCTCCCCGCTGCTAATTTGTGTTTCGAAATACCATGGCTCTAAGTGGCAACTGCAGGAGCTACCTCCCTGCGAGAGAGCAGGGCCCGGGCACGCTCTCCTTCCCCGAGGTGGTGGAGCTCAACGTGGGTGGCCAGGTCTACTTCACTCGCCATTCCACCTTGGTGGGCACCCCGCACTCCCTGCTCTGGAAAATGTTCACCCTAAAGAGAGACACAGCCAGCGACCTAGCCAAGGACTCCAAGGGAAGGTTCTTCATTGACAGAGATGGTTTCCTTTTCCGCTATATTCTAGACTATCTCAGGGACAAGCAAGTGGTTCTGCCTGACCACTTCCCGGAGAAGGGGAGGCTCAAGAGGGAGGCTGAGTATTTCCAGCTCCCGGACTTGGTCAAACTCTTGGCTCCCGATGACACCAAGCAAAGCCCTGATGATTATTGCCACAGTGACTACGAAGAGGTCTCCCAAAGCAGCGACACGAGAATCTGCGCGCCCTCCTCACTCCTGCCGTCGGATCGGAAGTGGGGATTCATCACCATCGGATACCGCGGGTCATGCACGATTGGCAGGGAGAGCCAAGCAGATGCCAAATTCAGGAGGGTGCCAAGGATTTTGGTTTGTGGAAGGATTGCGCTAGTCAAGGAGGTCTTTGGAGAAAGTTTGAATGAGAGCAGGGACCCCGACCGGGCTCCAGAAAGGTACACCTCCAGGTTTTATCTCAAGTTCAAGCAYCTGGAGAGGGCGTTCGACATGTTGTCCGAGTGTGGATTCCACATGGTGGCCTGTAACTCCTCGGTGACGGCTTCCTTCGTCAATCAGTACACCGACGACAAGGTCTGGTCCAGCTACACCGAATACGTCTTCTACCGTAAGTACAAGAAACTCCTGAGGGAGGGATAATGGTGCGTCCCCGCTCCAGCTCCTCCGCTCTCTGTGTGCTTCTCAAAGCGCAGATTTCCTTCTGTCTGCGGGCACTGGTTTTGGTCCGAGGGGATGTGCTGTGGTTGAAGCTTTCACACTGGACGCGGATGCGGAGCGAAGCGGGCCGGTCCTGGCTAGGTGGCAGTGCAGACTGTGGGAGCGCGCAAGCCGGAGGGCCCGCTCCCTGTGGCTCTGTAAATGGGCCATCTGCCTGCGTGGGGCTCGCGGCGCTGCCTGCTCTGCAAACGTGCACGCTTCAGCAGGGAAAAGCTGCAAATGAGGCTCCGGTCACAGAGGTAGCGATGGCTGCTTGGTGATGGTCCCCGCCGGCAGAGTCAGCTCGCAGCAAACCTGGCTCGCTCCCGCCAGGGAGGGGGAACCTAAATGCTGCCCCCCGCTGCTTCCTAGCAGAGGCTTTCGCCCTTTCTCCTCGCTCTCGGAGCCAACAACAGGCTCGAAAATGCAGGCTCGGTGCGGGGAGAGGCAGGGTGCTGCATCCCGTTACGCAACGCGCCTTGGAAAGCAAGCGGCCGTGCCCTGCTCGCTGCCGTCGCCGCCGGGCACGGCCTGCTGGGGCACTTTTAGCTGGCTGCTCTAGCAGGCTCATTAACTTCCTGAGCTAATGTGCAGGCAGAGGAACCGTTACCGCTGTAAGATGAGGGTAATTTTGATTCCATGATTCTGTATCAGAAAATCACTCCACAACTGCTGTGCTTAAATATTCAAGAGGTTTGTGAGGCTGTTTTCATCCATCTTCATTTCAGGAGGGTGAAGGATGGAACATTTCCCGGGCCCATTTGTGCAAAAGGGCTTTTGCCAGCTGCTGCTTTGCACGGGGAGGTTTCCACAGGGATGATGACTGCTTCTCCTGCAGATCTGCTCTGCTCTGTGGGCTGGCTGCAGCTGCTCTGCTCCGAAAGCGCAAGGTCCACAAAAGTTTGAGCTGAAAGATGTATCAGAAAGTGAATCGTTCGTGCGCCATCGACTCCTATGCCGCGACTCAACAGGCAGCCCTAAGCAGCTTATGTAATGATGCTAGAGTTGGCGCTTGGGAAAGCTTCTGTATTTCTGACATGCATAGATTTACTGAAAATTAGTTTTCTAGCTGGCCTTCTCAGCAGATTAGTCCAGAGGTCTTGGATTCGTTCATATTCCAATTAAGGTGGATGGTTCCTGTAATTAGGTGTCTTGTGTTTGAAACTATAGCATCTTACACAAGATGCAGCAAGACAGGAGAATCAATGTAGTTAAAGGAATGGATAGGAGTAAATTGTGTTTACGTTAAAATCAGAAAAGGATATAAATTATTTATAGTAAAAAGGGTTTAATAATTGAAGAGAGGCCCAGAATAGATGTTCCACGATTTAACAAGCACGCACTACTGATTTTCATATGGCTTGAGTTCTTTTTTTCAAGGATTGCTGGTTGCTTCGGCATCATTACAATTAGTGTTGAGAGATGAAAGGCGCCTTAGGAAATTTGGAGAGAGCAAGTGTATAGTAGAGGTCCTGAAATCTTCCTTCACCAATGCAGTAAAAGCTCAATCCTATTAAAGTTCCTGGAAAGACTCTTATCTTGTTCAACAGGCTTTGAATTTGGCTCGTATCAGTGCTGCGGATTTGTGACAGGATGGATGGTGTCACTGGGTTCTTCCAGGCTCTTACGCAGGTGAGAAGCAAGCCCGTGGCCACGACGCCGGATCGCTCTCCCGCGTGGCTGCAGGGCTGGCCGCGGGCTCCGCTGTGAGGGGCGCGGGGTTGCAGGGCYGGGGCTGCCGCAGCTGCGGGCGGGAGGCCCCGACCTGCCCGATTCACCCACACCAGCCGAGCCCGCAGCGGCAGCACCGCTCCGCAGCCTGCTGCCTTGTAAACTTCGAGGACCACTGAAGTTGACATCTGGCTTTCCAGGGGAACTTCACAACTTCTCTGCAGCTGCGTAGCCGTAATTTTTTAATTAGAAGCTGCCAGCTGTGCCTATATAAGCATTGATTCATCAAGCTGTTGTGATCAGGTTAATGGGCCTAGGCTCAAGAGGTGTCTAACACAACACAGATGTAAAGGTGTCCTCTGTAGAGCAGCTTGTAGCTCCAGTGAAATGCGTAGTGGAGGTGCTCTTCAGAGCTGGGGAAAGAGTATTTGCAGCTTTAAGGAAGTAGGACAGAGGGAAGCAAATTTTGCTGGCACACCAAAAACATGGTATGCTCAGGAGCTGGCTGCCTGTTGTTGGCACTAAGATATAGAACGTTCTGTGCATGCAGTGCATGTGAGGGAGGATGCGATGGCCCGGAGGGGCCGTGCAGCTGCTCACGCGGGTGTGGGGAAGCCGCGTGGCTCGCGGTGTGCCACTTTCCTCGCCTGCTGCAGCACGGCTGCTGTTCAGGCTGGCGGGACACTGGCGTCTCCGTGGAGGGGGCTCGTGAAGGCGGCGCCTGCGGCYCCGCCGCCCTCTCCAAGGCCGGTGCAGGGGCGCTGGGAACGGCCGGGGCTGGTGGCGCGCGGCGCATCCTCCCTGGGCGGCCCTTGGAAGGCAGGTGTGCGCGGGGCAGGCGGCGCTCTGCCCGCAGAGCTGCGCACACCTGGAGCTGAAGACAGTAACAGCCTGCGCTTGGATCAGCCTTTTAAATATGTTGTCTTTAGCATGGGATCGATCGATGTCTGCTGAATGTTGGGAAGTTTAAACCAGAGGCAGAGAGGCTGGCTGGGCCTTTTGTAGCACAGCTCTGTTCTTGACCTCGCGGTGGCGGATGGTCGGATGGTGCCACACCGCCTGTGTATATATATATATGTATATATATGTATGTATATGTACACACATACATATCAGCAGCTTCTTGGCTTGGCCCCGTGTGCCGTGCTACCGGGACTGCTCTCGCCCGTGCCTGGGCCGCGGGGACGCCCCGGCTGCGAGCGCAGGACRAGGTGCAGGAGGGGCCGCAGCAGAGCAGCACCTTGGCCATCTGCACGTGGCGCCTGTCCCCGGGGCCCGCCTGTCCCTTCCTGCTCTCTGCCTGTCCGTGGCCGATCCTGCGCTTGGCTGTCAGGCAGTTCATGTGCAGAGGGGTCAAATCCTGGCTGCAACATGTTTGGTCCCCCTCTCCTTCACTCTGCACAGCACTAGGGGGAAACACAGTGTGCAAGAGCAGGCTGCCCTGTGCTCGGCTCGAGCCATGGACACCCAGGGAGTGCAGGGCTCTGCACAGCGGGACAGATGTGTCGGAGGAGGAGGAGGAGGAGGAAGAGAGCTGCACGGACCTTGCGAGAAACATAGGAGAAGGGCAGTGGGGAGGACGAACAAGCTCTCCCAGGCACGGGGGGAGAATTTAGTTGTTGTGGCAAGCCTATCCCAAATCTTTTCTCAGGACAACCAGATTGAGAGGGGTTGATGAAGCACTGTCAGTTCACTAAGAAGAGAGAATACAGAGACTTAGACAACTGTCCCTGCAACTGTCCCTATTGATCCTAAGGTCACATTTGAAAGTCTGGACAAGCAGAGGAAAATCAAGCTGTTTTCCCCAAGCTTGGCCGTGTTCCTGCTGCTTCACAGCTGYGCACTTGGAGCAGCTCGAGCACCTGAAGCTCAGAGGAAACGCTGAGCCGTCCTGCCCTGTGTCTGCGTGCGGAAATGGCCCCTTCGGCTCTCGCTGCTGCTGGACAGGCTCAGCCTCCGCTCCCCGCGGTGACAGCTGGAAATTCTGGCYGTCCTCACCTCACTCTGTCAAGAAAATCCCGGTTGACTCTGATTGGGAAGAGATTGGGATTGTCCTTTTCAGCCTGAAGAAGAGAAGGCTGAGAGGAGACCTGATCAGTGTGTATAAATACCTGGAGGGAGGCAGTGAGGAGGATGGGTTGCCTCTTCCCAGTGGTGACCACCAATAGGACTAGAGGAAA